CATGCAAAATGCTTCCCACATGGACAGTGATACCAGTACACCTCCTTGTTTGTGGCAACAGGGCACTTGGGAACCCCTTGAGTTTGTGGTTTTGAGCTTCTTTATTGCTAATGGATTTCTGAGAATTCCTCTAACTATGGGGATTTACTCATTTGTAGTATTGGTGTTCACAAATTCCTGCAATGGCGAGTTCTATAATTTAAATTTATGCTTTGTGGAAAAGCTCTACTTTGTCTTAAAAATTCCTAGGGTACTAGTTATTATATCCAGGACATTTTCTGCTATGAAAGACAGTTCCAGTGTGTGATCACACATTGTTTGTCTCCTCCACATCATTCACGGTTTTAAATCTATTACATGTATTTATCCCTTGCATTCTAATTCAGTCAGCTTAAGTGGGTACAAGATGATAGATTCCATGAGAATATTTAATTTAATCTTAACATAGGCGGTAGAGAGTTTAGCTCTATTAAACCCGTGGCCTGATAGTGCTGGACTGGGGAGCTGCTAACGATACTTTACCATAGGGCACCTTCTTCCTCAGCCCTAGTGCTGTGCCCACTTTGCCTTGCTGCCACAGCCTCCTGACCTGCAGCCTCCACTCTCTTCATTGTAAAATTACTTTTTTTTATGTTTTATTTAATCTAATTTCTTTGAGGCTTGTGGCCGGTCTTCATGTTATCCTTTGTGCAATTCAAAGGAGCTGCCAGCAGAAAAAGGTAAATGCTCTTTAGAGTGTGAGCCTTTCCGTATTCTTGGAATATGGAATTCTTGCATATTGCCAGTTCTGGGTCTGCAATTTAGGTTTTCTCTGCCTCCAGTTCCCAGGGATGTAAGCAGCAGTCTTAGCAACTTGGATACCTGGGCTCCAGGGAAGGCCTATTCATCCTAACAGCCTCTGGAGAATATCCTTGCCTTGGCATTGCTTACACTGATGCTATATCTTTGTTCCTGAAAAGATGCTGAGCTTAAAAATAAAAAGAATTTTTTCAGACTGCAAGAAAAGCATCATTATTCCACCAAATCTATATGGGGCTCATTTTCTTGGAGGAAGCAATAAAATCTTGGGCCCAAAACAGTTTCCAGGACACACAGCAAACTTCTGATGATTTGTTTGTTTGTTTTGGTAATGAAACACCAATAGCTAAAGGAAGCCGGGTCAATGAAGCTGTGTAAATCATGCAGGTAGTCAATGAAAGTTGATATGAACTTGATATGAAGTCAATGAAACACATGATAGGACCTGGATGGAGAAGATGAAGTAGCTGGATGTAACTTGACATGACAAGAGGTTGTAGAAATAATGTGAAAAGACAGGTAGAATGTGAAAAATACATGTGAAGTGACAGTGAAATATTGACACACTGCAATGTGCAACTCTTGGTCCAGCAAACACACTTAAAAAAAAATAGTAGATTTAAACATATATTGTTTTATCTATATTTTGACTCCTAGAAGGTTGGGTTAAAATCCTTTATCAGCTTGAGGTTTGGCAAATTAAATATGTAACAGAAGTTTTGTGAAAGGAGCCTGATTGCTGTAAGTTTGCCTTCCTCAGCTGTCTTTTTTTCATGGGTGGGGGTGGTTACAAAGAAAAGGGAAGTTGCAGTTTGGAATTTTCTTTTTGTTTGTTAACTTTTCGGGAGTGGAACAATGCAATACAGTATAATCTTTCAGACATAGGAACTCTACCACAGAAACTACCATGGTAGAAAAAAGGCAAAAATATAACTACTACTATCTGAAATAATGAATTACTAATGTGAAAGTAGTTGTTTCAATCAATACAAAATTAATTTTTCAGTAATGATTTGTCATGCTAAGAATGCTTATTAGTGCCTGGATTTGGAGGTCTTAGATTTCTTTCCTATTATTCACAGCATCACTTAAAATAGATAAAAAGTGAGTATGTGTTAGTATTTCGCAGTCTTTTAACCATATAGGGCACAATACTTGTGCCTATTACTTGAGAATATATTTTCTTTAAAGGAAGATTGTGGAAAACTAAACAAAAGGCAGATTTTTTTTAGGTGATCACTCAACCACTTATGTCTAAGATAAAAGAACAAAGTGTGAGAGAGCTCGGCTTTTTGATTTCCATCCAGATCTCAGGAGATATTTGCAGATTTATGAGGCCTGAGTTGTAAGCTAAACCTACTCTTAGCTGTGACTAAACCATCCTTGCAAAAAGGTGTACAGTCTTTACCTATTTCTAGTGTAGGGATGGAAAAAAAAAAAAAAAAGTAAGGCTTTTTTATTTTTCTCCCCATTTTTTTCATCAAAATATTAAATATTTCTTTTCAGCTTCATTTCTACCACATTAAAAATTCAGGCATTTTCCTTGATTTTTCCTAATATTGCTTGATGCATAGGTTTAGAACATCAAATGTAATATTGAAGTAAATAAATCTAAGTAGCAATCAAGAGAGCTTGTTCTTTGCTTTGCAAAAGTCTTTGTATAACTAAGTTAATAAAAAGCCATAGATGAGTGACTGTGAGAGAAGAGGAAGGTTTTTTTTTAAGTATCTAGAGTGCCCAGCCATCAGACTTGACATCTCCAAAGAGGAAAATGAACTGAATTCTTGGTATGTTCAGAGCTAAATAGCATCTCTTCCACATCCTCAAATACAGAAAAAATCAGGAATTGCTTATGCACAACACAGGGAGGCAAACTAATTCTTCTTGTGAATGACCTAAAGACAAATTATTCTATGGTTGGTTTTATTAAAAGTGTTGGGAATTTGGCTTGGGACTGGGCCACTATGGCAAGGGAAATGTACAGCCCTTATAACTCGGCTTCCCATGTTTATACATCTCTATAGCAACTAGGTAGGCAGGCCTGGGGAAGGAGGCTCTCCCAGGTGTTGTTTAATGATGACATTCAGAAAGGCTTCTTGAAAGATGCTACCTGCCAGCTATATGTGCTTGTCTGAAACATAAATCATTGCTGTGTCCTTGGCAAAGGAGACAAGGCAGCCTGCAAGAGTGAATTTGGTAGGACAGCCTCACGGATGTTACGGAGTGGGCACAACAATGAGGGAAGAAGCTCTGTGTTTCCATTAACAGGAACAAAGCATTTAATTCCCAGCCCAGTATACTGTGTGTTTACCCCAACCTAAGGAGTTCATCAAGAATTAAGTGTTCTTGGCTGTGTAAGGCTTAGACCTGGTGGTGAAACGTACCCGGCAGTAATGAGGTTGGGTCAGATGATAGCTCTCTCTTTAATAGGCCAAATTACCTGCTTCAACTTTACTCTCATCTTTTGCTTTTGTCTGTATTACTATTAAAGGGCATTCTCTGTGTGAGCTCAATGCCTGTGGGAATGTGACCTTTCACAGGAAGGACAGTACATTTTAAGCTGATCAGTAGCACTGAAACAGGTAAAACAGGATAAGAGGATCCTGCAAATTACTGGGCTGCTTCCCTGCCACCCCAAAGGGACTTCCTCACAGCTTAGTTTCTAGTGTTCACCATCTCCCCAGTCTCCATCTGCTACCTTTACCCGCCTCACGATTATTTTTCTTACAAATAACTGTTGCAGTGATGTTCAGAGCTCTGAGCTTTCCACTTAGCTCCTTACAGGGTTCTCTTTGTAATTCCTTGCATCGTTGCACAAGCTACAAGCTCCATATTGCTAGGCTAAATGATACTGTAATTGGACCTGATTGAGAAATTCAGATCAAATAGTTCATATGATCAGTTTAGACCTTCCTTTTTCCTGCTTGCAGAATATCAATACAAAAATCGTTTCCTGCAAATGCTTAATTGTTGGTTCATTTCTTTTAACTTGATGCCTTTTTGAATGTTCAGCACGTCAAGTCACGGTGAGAAGAGTGTGGGGCCAGTTTTTATGCCACTTCTGCAACTGGCTTTCACGACGGTCTGTATCATAAATGACACTTTTCTTTGATCTTTTGCCACTGAACTGCATGGTAAACTATCTTCATAGAATCACAGGATGGTTAGGGTTGGAAGAGACCTCTAGAGGTCATCTAGTCCAACCCCTCTGCTCACGCAGGATCACCCAGAGCACGGGGCACAGGGCTGCGTCCAAGCGGGTTTTAAAGATCTCCAGAGAAGGAGACTCCACAACTTCCCTAGGCAGCCTGTTCCAGGGCTCTGTCACCCTCACTGTCAAGAAATTTTTCCTTAAGTTCCTGTGGAACTTTTGGTGCCTCAGCTTGTGGCCGTTTCCTCTAGTCCTATCTCTGGCCACCACTGAAAAGAGGCCGCCCCCTCCTCCTCACTGCCTCCCTTGAGGTATTTATACACGCTGATCAGGTCCCCCCTCAGCCTCCTCTTCTCCAGGCTGAACAGACCCAGCTCTCTCAGCCTTTGCTCACAGGGCAGATGTTCCAGGCCCCTGAGGATCCTTGTAGCCCTGCGCTGGACTCTCTCCAGCAGCTCCACGTCCCTCTTGTACTGGGGAGCCCAGAACTGGACACAGTCTCCAGATGTGGCCTCACCAGGGCTGTGTATAGGGGGACGATCACCTTTCTCGACCTGCTGGAGACGCTCTTCTTAATGCACCCCAGGATCCCATTGACCTTCTTGGCCACCAGGGCACACTGCTGCCTCATGGTCAACTTGTCGTCCACCATGACACCCAGGTCCCTCTCTGCGGGACTGCTCTCCAGCAGGTCCACCCCTAATCTGTACTGGTGTCCAGGGTTATTCCTCCCCAGGTGCAGGACCCTGCACTTGCCCCTGTTGAACCTCATGAGATTTCTCGCCGCCCAGTCCTCCAGTCTGTCCAGGTCCCTCTGGATGGCAGCACAGCCCTCAGGGCTATCAGCTACTCCTCCCAGTTTCCTATCTTAAACACACAACAAAACAAAACAAAAATACCATAGAGCAAACAGGATAAAATGGATATTGTGGCTCCAGTGTTTGACTAATTGGGAAGGGTAGGAACTTAAGCTGCAGGCACACAATGGTGAGCAGGACTGGGGGCTGCATGGTGGGGACAGAAACATGTAATGAGCTGGAAAGGCTGTGCCATGGGGAGGGGAAATGTGAAGGTGGAGGCTAGTGAAACTTCCACTGCTCATCAAGAGGAAATGCGATCAACACATGAGAGCAAAAAGACTCTTTTTGCATCTGCCTTCATTAAGGAATGGTCAACTGTGAGTTATGGTTAGGTGAGACAGTCACTGGTTGTTGGAGGTTTTTTTCCAGCTGGATAGGTCAGAGGAGCTTTTTCTAAATGAAAGAAGCTGATAAACCCGAATGAATCCTGTGGGAATTACTGAACAGTGCAATTTTAGCTCTCTCCAGGTCCCCCGATGAAGGTATTTGTATGCTAAAAGTTTGTAAAGAGGGAGAAAACAGAAGAGCTTTATCAAGAGCAAATCCCAGCAGTCTGATCTCCTTCCACAGCAAGGTAATGAGCCTTAGCATTTAGGAAAAAATGTGAATGTCCTACATCTAGGCATTAGTAACACTTTTGGTACTATCTTATATGATAAAAATCTTAAAAAAAAAGAAAAAAGAATCTAAACGGAAAAAAATAAAGGAGAAAAAAATACTGGAGAACTTGCATGTCCTGAATAATCATGTGGGATTTATTTCATAATCAGTTGTCTCAACATTAGAAGAAATTATCTCATGACGAGGGCTTTTCTCCAACTGTTGCCAAGCTCAAATCACCGAGTGTTTACTTTAGAGCTTTTGTCTGCCGGAGAAGGATTATTTCTGGCAAGTACTTTATATTGTATTAAGAACTCAGTCAAAATAAACAAGAATGTGAAAATGACTTTTAGAAAGTTATTTCAAGCCATCATGCAGAGTCTCAGTCATTAAGGGACACAGCGAGGGCAAATTCATTTTGTTTGTTTGTTTTTAAATAGTCAATTCAGCAAATATCTGCTTCCTTAAAAATTCTTCTTGATGTCAGAAAAGTCTTCTGGATCCAAGAATCTGTGCTTGGATCCTTGGGCAGGGAATATTTCTTACCACTCCCCATACGGCCATCCCAAGCAGACTGCATTGTGCTTGTGCAAAAAGCAGTGATAGGGACACTAGATCCTCTATTCCCACTATCAATATTTTCCTGCCAACAACTAGAAGGAATTCAAAACATAACAAAACCACAACAAAAAAACACTGATCGAAGCAATGTTGATAGTATGTTTAAACCTCTTTCAAGTTAACTACCTACTACATGTGACGAAAGTTAAAAATACTTCAAGTATGTCATTTTTTCTTTCAATTTTCCAGAGCGCACATGCATATAGCTATTAAAAGAGACTTTCATGAGCATTTCTTTTTCTAGTAGCTTTGTTGTAAGACTTTTCCATTGAATTCCTCTAGCTGACAGAAGCTTCTGTAGTACATAACATGCCAGAAGCTCTTGCTGTTAATGCCACGGTAACGTTTAGTTGCAAACCAGGTATGATACCAGCTCGTATTCAGTGAGCAGGGAACGAGTCAATATAGTACCTGAGATGCGTGTGAGCTCTTTCAGACACCACCAAAAGGTAACATGAACACAACAAATATTAATGCCAGTATACCGAAGATGAAGGGACTAGTGCCAAACCACCCTTGTTCCCATCCTTTAGGATTCCAGAATGGACAAATATTCCCTGGAGCAGTCACGAGGAAAACGGCTTCCTCAGGTGTGCAGGGCCTTAGCTGCAAAGACAAAAACTCTCTGCTATTCCCACTCACAACACCTCCATATGCTCTGCCTCCTTGCAGGATATGAAGTGCCAGATGTTACTGAGTTCACTGATATTTTTTCTCACTTCTTTTCTCTGCACAGGGGAATACACCTATTGGAGGGCTGCTTTTTTAACAGCTTGAAAAACAAAAACTTGCTAGCATGCTCTTAAAGCATAAGTAAACACAATGTATAACTTTATGAGGATGTTGAAGGAAACAAAATTGGATAAATCCACCTTAGAGGTGGAGCAAAGCTGATGAAACTGTTAAGAGGCTAAGGCTGTGGAAGGGAAGGTGTCAGAACCTTGCAGGAGTTCCAGGGAAGGCTCTGTCTGCCACCAAGGTGAGGTTTGGTCTGGGCACTTCTTGTTGTGCTGGAAGATGGAGATCAACCAGCTGGTTGGGGGTAAACTTCCAGTTAGCACAAATCATTGCAGTGGTAAATCTGACAATCCAGCATTCAGGACGGCATTAGAGGGAAGGCAGGAAGGTGTAATTTAGTCTGCAGAGGGGATTTGCAGTAGTCAGACAGAACCATTGAGATATGAGGAGATTTCCTAAGCAAGGGTGGCTGCCCGCCCATGAAAACCACCCAGCTGCACCTCACTGGGGAGAGGACAAGTGTGTGAAGGACTGGATCTGCTGGATAACGAAGAACCATGTGTGCAATAAATGGTGGCAGCTGCCATGTGGCAGCTCACTGTGGGACTCCAGAGTGGAACTGAAAGGAGCTGGGAGAAGAATTGAGCCATGTGGGTTTCCAGGGTGAGTCATCTAGCTGCATGGGCATTGGTTTCATGCTCTCAATACAAATTACATTAGCGGCTATGTCCTGATTTTTTGCCAGCTCTCTAGACAAAAAAAAAATAATAAAAAAAAATAATAAAGCATAGTGCATGCTGGTCAGCAATGCTGAAAACTGCAGAGAGATCTAGTAAGGGGAGGAAAGGGGGTGAAAGTGAATGTTGCTCCTTTCCCACAGTGTCAGTGTTTCCTTCTTGAAAATCAGATTGAATCTGTGTTTTGCCCAGTCTAGTACATTGAGCAAGCCCATAGTCAGCCTCAGCTATATTATTGCTTTGGAGCAAGCAGGGGATATCATTTATTAGCTCTTCCCTACGTTGTTGCCTCTCCTCTTCAGTAACACTTACGAATAGTCTGGCAGGCAATGGAGATACCCATGTCTGCAAGAAGGCTACCTAAGAAATAGTTGTCCAAAGCCAAAAGGAAAATTCACCCCAGAAATTCAGAGAGACCCTCAAATTGCTCCCGTTCCTTCTCCATAACATAGCAGAAGGATGGTTCCATGGAGCTGACCCTTGGAAGAATTACAAGCTGCCTTTTTACTAATGAATGTGTCCTTTCTTTAATGAGCCCCCTTCAAATGTGTTGTCCCGCTTATAGAAGCTCAGTGCCACTCCATTAAGACTGGTAGCCCTTGTCACATTTTTTTCAATGTAATTAATGAAATTTTCCATCAAATGCAATAAATTCACCATCCTCTAGGCAACAAGTCAATCCTGAATCTTCTACTAATTTCTCCATAGGACTTGGCCACATACTAATGAGAAGTCTCCTTTTTATTGACTCTGTTTTCGAGAGGAGAATATTTTGGAGAGGAATTATAATATTCCTATTGACATATTGACTGTAATTTTTTTTTTAACTTAATTGGAAGGGTTTAAAGTGAGGATTGTATCTTTCTAGCTCTAAGTAAGGAAAGTATTCTCTGTATGTGCAATATGAAATGTAGTCTTAACACACACTGCTGTCAAGCATCTGTTTAGGTCATGTCTTCATGTTTATTTCTATCTATAGTGATGAATTCAAGTATAAAAGTGAATTTAGCATCAGCTTTAGAGTCTTCCTGAATATAGCCATAGTAGGCAACATGAATCTGTCATGATTTTCCTACTAGCAGCTATTTATTCCAAGCTATTTGAACAGCTAGTAAAAGGGAGGGAAAAAAATCCTTACTAGTAATGTTGTTTAAAAAAAATAAAAAGCTGTTAACTACCGTCTTGTTTAGTTTTGAATTACCAATTACGGTTTGGTGTAATCTAAGTGATTAAACTGACTTTTTTATTATTTTTATTTTACTAAAGCACCATCTTGCACAAGCTTTGCATTAGTATTAGTTGTTGCTGACATAAGTATTAGCAAGTAAAGTTAGCACAATGCACTAATGTGCAAATAGAATGTTTCTTAATGAGTCCACAGGGGACTTGTTTTTTCAGATCGTCCCTTTCCCCCTGTTAAAACTGCACCAACAATATAGAGCTCCTTTACCCTCCACAGGTGCTGAACACTCTCACACATTCCCTGAGTTTTCTGCTGTTTTTCTGCCTCAGTACAATATTATCTTCACAGTTTCAAGCAATAAAACAATTAAGTAAGCTGTCATAATATTATGACAAGGTAAATCCTTCCCTCTGGCCACAGCACATTTGCCTTTTACAATTCATCGTGAAATTTTATATAGAACCTGTAAAAGCAGAATGCTTTTGACAAGAGATGGAGGTGATCTTGCAACCCTTTGCTAAGGTGGAGGATGGCAATTGGGAACAGGTGTAAATCACTGATGCCTGCTGCTCATTAAGGAGATCTTCATAGTTAGCAATAGGCACTTTTATAACACTTAGCCTTATCTAATTCCACTCAAGTAGAAATCAAGCTAGAGATTTCTGTGATATGCTGTCTTAGGCACTGGAATGAAAAGGATAGAAACGAGCAGCTCAACAAAAGCTGGTTACTGAACCCCTTCCAGGCCTGAAAGCCTGGAGATTGTAAGTTATTATAGTGTTTAAATAGTAGGGATAGTTTTGATCTGAACTTCTTTTTTTTTTCTCTCTCTCTGTCTGAAGATGAAGAGTTATAGCTGAAAAAGGGGGAATGGAATAGAAGAGAGAAAAGCCACTTCAGTCTCTGTGTTACTTTATTTGTCTTTGCTTCTTTTGTTAATCTTTTTCTCAAAATGCTCCTGCCTTTGCCTCAAGAGTTCTGAATGCAATTTAGTTTCAAGAATTTTATGTGGTCTTTCACCAACAGACTAATGGAATAGTGCATTCATGGCTCTTTCTCTCTAAAATATATTATCAATACAATTCTCAGAGCAAGGAGAAGAATATATGTTCCATTCCAGCATGAATGAGAAAATAATAAAGAAGAAAGCCAGATAAAGCTAAAAGTACATAAAAGAGCCAGGGTGAGCTAGATACTTTTGGGTGTTTGTAGCTGCCTGAGCCAAGAGCTGATCCTGGTCCCACTTTCAACACAATATTTAAAACAATTTTTGTTATCGTTATTGTTTTCTGGACAGTGACTAAGTGGTTTAGTTGAATGACAAAATTTGGGATTCAAAGGGTCAGGTACTATTGAAATACCTCAGGACAGAAGTGTTTGTCAGAGATCAGTTTGGATGTTATAAATATCCTTCTGTGAGGTTTGACATCAGCAGAGCTGCAGTGGTGTAGCTCAAGTGAGGTTATGACTTCTAGCACCAGAGAGAAAACCATTATGGATGATTATTGCATTGCGTTTTCCCCAGCTTTAGTTTCTTTGTGAAGTCAATATTCCTCACCCCCTGACCAGCTCCTGAGGAGCCAGGCTGGCTCTGAAGATGCCCACGCTTTTTCAGTTCTTTTAATTACTTAATGCAAACTGCCAGACAAAAGCCTGGTTGTAATGCATCCTGGAGGAAGAGCACCCACAGCAGTGGGCTGAGTCACTCCCTGAAACAGTTTCAAGACGGATTCATTTGGAGACAACTTAATCTAGCATCTCAAATCCCTAATTCTCCTGCTTTTATTTCTTTTTAAGCTACTGTCTTTTTAAAACCTTGCTGAAATAAATCATACTGCAGAGAACCCCAAACCAGCAGCAACTTCTGCAGTTATAAAGACAGCACTCACTGGAGCGCTGGAAATTTGATGAATGGGCTTGTGCTTTATGAAAGAATGAAGAGAAATACTCCTAGGCAAGAAAACAATTGCTAGGTAAAAACCACTGACATTATCTCCCAGCGCTGGGCAAGAAAATGAAATCAAATTCACAAAAATACCTGACTTGAAATTGGAAAACATGATAGTGAAAAGTATGAACTGGAACAGCGACTATTTGCAGCACTAGCTTCCCAAACAGAAAGAGGGAAATGTTTCATGTAAGGACCTCAGAAAAATCTCTGCAATTAGCTTGTCTGTACAGATGCTACCCAGCTGAATTTAAATTAGGGAGTAGCAATTCCTATGCTTGCTGAGATTCAAGTATTATCTTCAAATGTAGATGATCAAACAAGTGCATGAATTTCATCTATTAGACGCATTCAGAGAATCGAGTTTGAGGCTTGAACATGCACTTTGCTTCAAGCCACTGAAAACAAGTAGAATTCTGCTCTTTATGATCACTTCACCACTTTTCTCTCTTTCTTTTTTTTTTTTTTTTTTTTTTTTTGAGTTTTTCTTTTGTGCCTCGAGAGGGTTGCTTATATCTGAAGTCCTGCTCCATTTCTGATTCGGATGTGTGAATGGCTGAGGTTCTGGCCCCCATCAGAGGGTGTTCACGCCTGCTGCCTCTTCCACCCTAGGCTTGAGGCCGGACTCTGCTCTCCTGGTCGGCAATCTGGGGAGACATCTCGGAGGGACCAGGTGTTTTCCCCAAGGAGATGCCCCTCTCCCATCCCCAGCTCCAGAGCTCCACCTCTTCTCCCCAGGCTTTGCTTCGAAGTGA